AAAGGCCCCAAGTTCAATTCCCAGCAACTATAGGGTGGCTCACAACCATCTATAATGTGATCTGGTGCCTTCTTCTGGCGTGCAAGCACACATGCAGGCAGAATACTGTATAACTAACTAACTAACTAACTAACTAACTAACTAACTAACTAACTAACTAACTAAATAAATCTATCTTAAAAAAAAGTGCCCAGGCAGTACTTAAATATAAGCTACTACTTCTTGTAAAGATCAGCTGGACCGCAGTGAGGGGCATTATGAGAAGAGAGGTGTGCTCATCCCATGAATTCATCTTCTCACATCTTCTCACACACAGCCCTTCTTCCCCTGGTTTTAAACAAAACTGGAGGAGACGGGAAGGGGCAGGCTCAGATTACCCTGTTTCCTCAGTCCATCACTGTCCCTAGCCTTGTCCTTTATCTCAGGGGGCTTGGTAAAGACTTGTTGGGGAGCGCGGCCAATAAAAGAGATAAAACCAACACCCTATTGAAGGCTAGCCTGGTTTACATAGACACAGGTCATTCAGACCACACGGTGAGACCCTGCATCAAAACGAAAAGGTAACCGGGTGAATAAAACATGTAGCTGTCCTCTGGTATCAAGCTAGACGCCCCTGCAAGGCGCACTGGCTTCTGTCCACACCCAGACACGCCCTTCACCGAGAGGAAAGTGAGACATTCCCACCGCCTTACAGAAAGACGCTCAAGAGGGGAAACCCCAGGCAGCAGGCCACGCCCTTCCCAGCTCACTCGGCTTCCTCCCGACTCCACCCAACACGGCGGCTTCCGGTCGGGTCGGCACGCTGTCCTGCCGCTCCGCGCTTGCGCAGCGAGATCGGGTCAGCGCTCAGGCGCAGTGCGTCCTTCACCCTCCGCTTCCTGCGGCTGTTTCCTGCGGCACGGTCCTTGGGTTAACTCGTGAAGCAGAAGGATGGTGCTGGACCTAGATTTGTTTCGGGTGGACAAAGGAGGGGACCCAGCCCTCGTTCGAGAGACGCAGGAGAAGCGTTTCAAGGACCCGGGGCTGGTGGACCAGCTGGTGAAGGCAGACAGTGAGTGGCGACGATGTAAGTGCCTCGATGCTCGCGGTATCCCTGGACTCCTGAACGCAGACATCGCTTCAGAGGGCCACAGCTTAGAGCTTTTGTCAAACGCTCTCGGGACTGGCTGGCTCCAACTCTGCCTTTCCCTAGAACAGGCTGCAGACCGGGCTTGTCCCACTCTCCACAGCACCCGCGGCCCGCGATCCCTCCCCGCGCGTGGTGCCCACCCACTGTGCCTCTGGAAGGGGCAGCGCGCACGCGCAGGGAGAGCTGTCAGGCCCTTGGGTAGCTACAAGCCAGCCGGAGCTGGAGTTTTAGTTGGGGTGGGAATTTCTTTTCCTGACAGTTTGGTCTTTGCCAGTATTTTTCTCATCCTCAGCAAAGCCCGCGTGGTCTTTTCGGTTTTGATGGGATCAGAGGCGGCTATCTCAGATTGGGTGACATCTGCAGCGCTGCAGTTTTACTCCATTCCTTTCGAACCATTTGGGGACTTTGGGGTGTGCTCTTAGTAAATGCAGTGATCCCCAAGCTTTAGGGATGGCCGTTCCTCTAACCCTGTGGGCATACTTTTTAAGAATCAGGCTTTTCCGTGGTGGGTCAGATAGAAAGGACCCCGGGGTGCTGGAGGCAAGAAAAAGCTGGTAATTACTGAGGATGGTCGTGATTTGTGGTAGCTTCCTGGGGGGGGGGAGACATTGGCAGAGTAGAAGTGACCCCAGCATCATTCATGAAATTAAAAGAAGCCCTGGCATCCTCTGCCTCCAAGTGTACCTCTGGAGTGATCACCTGGCAGACCGGATGTTGTCAGTGACATGTGACTCTGCATGTCTGATGCAATAGGTCTGCAACCAGCTGAGAGCCTGGTTTGTAACAGAACACTGCAAAGGCAGTCGCGATACAAGAGTGTCTCCCCCTCCACCCCCAAGACAGGGTTTCTCTGTGTAGTAGCCCTGACTGTCCTGGAACTTGCTCTGTATACGGGCTGGCTTCGAGCTCAGAGGTCTCCGTGCCTCCGCCTCCCGAGTGCTGGGATTAAAGATATGCGCTGCCATGCCCAGCTGAGTGTTATCTTTTGGGGACATTGATGTTGCTGTTTTTTGGTTGTTTTTTTTTTTTTTTAAATGTGCTTGGGTATTAAAAAAGTATTTGCTTACCTTTCAGTTGGGTATTCACTCTGTATGTTTCAGGTGCTCTAATAGGGTAGTTTGTGTGATTCAATGAATCTAAAGTCTACAAATCTAAAGTTTTGAATTGCCCCAAACTGAAATTTTCCCCATTTTCTTTTGTTTAAGATAAAAATATCCTAAGCCAAAGGTGGGGTTGCCTGCCTTTAATCCCAGCACTCAAGAGGCAGAAGTAGGTAGACCTGAGAATTAGGACTAGCCTGGTCTTACATACTGGGTTCCAGGCCAGCCAGAGCTACATAGTGAGATCCTGGATTGGAAAGAAGAAAGAAAGAGAATATTCTGAGCTGGACTTGGTGACATTCAGCCATAATCCTAGCACAAGGTAGACTGAGGCAGGAGGAGCTGCGTTTCGAGGCCAGCAGACCCAGCCTCAAAAACAAAACACACAGGTAGACGTTCAGAGCACCTTGTCTTGAATCATAATCAGGAACATCAAGATTTCTGTATCCATCTAAGCATTAGCAGCAGCTGATGTGACTTCAAATGTTAGTGGTCACTTGTATATAACATTCACATCTGGGAAATTTTGACCCTTACCTGAAGAGATGATTGGAAGGTTCTTTAGGGATCAGTAGTATAGACAGATATTAAAGGACAACTTAAAAAGTGAGCATATGTTTTTGAGGTGAAGTCTGTCAATTTTGTCCAGGCTAGTGTAGAACTACCTCATGGTCCCAAGCCACCCTCTGATCTCTGCCAGGAATACTGATCTGTGCGCCCACACCTGGCCTTAAAGGTGGTGAGTACTAATTAAACTAGAAATCATCAACAGTTATAAAAAAAGAGGCCTTTAAGGCAGGAGAGAGACAGATGGGTGGGCCCTGGGGGGAGCTGGAGAGAGGTAGGTGACAAAAAAAAATAAACATTTTTTTTAAGTGAATATAACGGGGAAAGGATATTATACTTTTTCAGACAGGGTCTCATCTAGTTCATTTGAGTGAGGCTGTCCTTAAACTGATCCTGCCTCTTACTGGGGATCACAGGCATGCACCACCACACCAGGCTTAAAGGTGTGTATGTGTTTATAGTGTTTGAACCTATGGTTTCAGTACATGCTAGATAAGTGCTCTGCCATGGACTCGAGTTATGCATAACCCTCCATTTGTTTGTCTGTTTCATTATGAGCTAGGTTCTTGCTGTGTTGCCTATTCTGTCCTCAGACTGGCAGCCTCCTTGCCGCAGTCTCCCGGGCATCTTATACACAGCTGTGCCTTTTTGTTTTTTTAAATTTTATTTGCCACTGTCCCAACTGCAACTTCACATTGCAGCCCTGGCTGTCCTCAAACTCAGATGATCCACCTTCCTCTGTGTCTGGAATGCTGGGTTAAAGCCGCTACACCCAACTGTCAACCAGCGACACTTCATTCTTTAAGACAGTTAAGTTCTTTAATGAGTTGAGCAGAAGAGGTTGGCTTTATAGAGTCTGGTTGAAGAAAGTAGAAACAAAAGGCAAAAAGCAGATCCGTCATTTCTTTCTTTTTTTTCCCTTTCTTTTTTTTTTTTTTGGTTTTTCCAGACAGGGTTTTTCTATGTAGCCTTGGCTGTCCTGGAACTCACTCTGTAGAGTAGGCTAACCTTGAACTCAGAGATCGGCCTGTCTCTGCCTCCCAAGGGCTAGAATTAAAGGCTCTCTCTGCCACCACCACCACCACCGCCATCAGTCATTTCAGACTTCACTCTCTGTAGTGAAGTCTGGGAAGACAGAAACAGGAAATAGTTTCAGTTTGGTGATGTGGAACTTTGACATGAGCTGTTTACATTTTGATTTTTAGTATGGTTTGTTGGTGCTAGGAACAGGCCTCCTGAGATTGTTTAAAACACATACATGTATACACATGCAGATATACATGATATTCCAGTACTCAGCAGCGCACCTCATCCTTGGTAAGAGTGTGATAAAGGTTTGTTGAATGTATGAAGATCTCTGGGTCCAGGGTACTTTAAATTCTGTATGGAAGATTGTTCTGTTTTAATTGTTTTAGACAGGCCTCTACTCTATAGCCCATTCTGTCCTCAAATCAACAGTCTCCTGCCTCTATGCACCATGCCTGGCTGTTAGCACTTCTAAAAAAATTTTTTTTAAGATTATTTATTTATACGTACAGCATTATTCTGCCTTGCATGTGTGCCTGCACAACAGAAGAGAGTACCAGATCTCACTATGGATGGTTGTGAGCCACCATGTGGTTGCTAGGGATTGAACTCAGGACCAGTGTTCTTAACCTCTGAGCCCTCTAATCTCTCCAGCTCTCTAAAAATTATTATTATTTTTCTTATTGCCGGGCTGAGTATTAAATCCAGGGCCTTCAACAGGCTAGGCCAGTACTGAGCCACTCAACCGTTCCCAGCCTTCTTACTATTTTTCTTAAGGGGAGAGAAATCAGTGTTTTGTTTCTTGATCGGATGTGAGAGTCATTCATGAACACGGTTAATGGAGTGGGACAGCACAGAAGAAGCTGTCACTAGTGCAGGCCTGCCATTATAAGGGACCAATCACTGGGGGTTAAGCTGCTTCTCAGCTACCAGGTCTTTTATCACCTGCATTAAGCACAGTGAAGCCTCACTTCTTTGAGATGTGGATCTTCTGGCAACCAGGGAGCTTGAACTTGTGCCATCACACGTGCCTTATTCTGCAAGATAGTGCTGATGTTCATGATGATCTGGCCAGTGTGAACCTGGCCACGGTACCCTGAGGCTTAACAATGCACTCTGCATACCTGTCTGGCTTCTAGACTGGGGACATCATGAGATCAGAGACATGAATATCTACCAGATAACTCTTTCTCTTAGAGCAATCCAGCAAGCCACAGACTGCATACACTGCCAAGGAGGATGCTGTTCTCAGCTTTTCATACCAGGTCCCTGTGATGGGAGATATCTTGCTGGTTCAACTCAGCTGTTCTGGCTCAGACTCCTTATTCAATTTGGCACCTTCTCATTCTCTGACTCCTTCTGCCTTCAACCTCTCTCTGTAAAACTCTTCCCGGTAAAACAGCCTCCTCCTCCTTCTCCTCCTCCTCTCTCATTGCCCCCTAAGTAGGTTCCCTTTCCCCTCTCTTCTCATGAGAGTTGGGCGTATCCCATTCTGTCAAATCTTCTCTGATTCATCACTTTTTCTGCCATTCAGTTAGACATCACTTTCAAAATTGGGTGCTTCCTTCTACAAACTAACTTTACTACCTTCATTATTTGAGATTAAAGGTATGTACCACCATGGCCAGACCTGGGCTTTTCTTTACATGAAACTTGCCATACCAGGCTGGCCTTGAACTCAGATCTGCTTGCCTCTGTCTCCTGCATTAAAGGTGTGTTTGTATTCTAGATCACACATCTTTGGATGTGATCTGTTACCAGAGCAGCCATGGTCTAAATTAAAATCCACTACACAGATACTTTAGAAATATTTATCTTATGTGTAAGTGTATGCATGTGCACAGCTGGCGGAGGGTGTCTGGTCTCTTTGGAGTTACAGGTGATTGTGACTGCCCTGTGGGTGCTGGGAACCAAACCTGAGTTACTCAAGAGCAGGGAGCACTCTTAGCTGTCGAGCTATCCCTCCAGCCCTGAAGATACTGTTTGTTTTTAACAAGGTCTCCCTGAGGACTCCAAGTGGCCTTCAACCCACCCCGCAGCCCAGGCAGGCCTTAAACTTCTACCTGCCTCAGCTTCCCAAGTAGCCAGGATCACAGGAGCCCCTGGCTGATGATGCTGGGCACTGACATGTTGTGTTGCAGTTCTTTCGCGTCTTGAACTTCACATTGGAAGACGGGGTTCTTCCGTTGTCGGTGGCGGCAAGAACTTGAAACCAGTCTCAACGAAGCGCTCAGATATGCGTCCCAATAGGGGTCATGAGCTTCCGAGCAAGTGTTAACAACTGGCCCCATGGGTCGCTGGGGAGACTTGCAGGTGCCAACAGGACTTGACAGAGAACACAGCAGTCTGTAACGACCACACTGTAACTCCACACATTGAGCAGCTGTTTCTGCTTCTTAATTCACAGCCATGGAACAAGGCCACATTTGGGGGCATTTGTCTCACCGGCCTCCAGACTGCTTGATTTCTGTGTGTCCACAAGGACTCTGTCCTTTGGAATGGACTGTGCATCCCCTCCGGAGAGTGAGATCCCTCTTTATTATCAATTGAAGACAGGCTCTGGCGCTGAGCTTTGTTTTCCCAACCTTTAGAAGAGCTTTCAAACAGCTTTCCTTTTGATTCTGGTCCTGCTTAGAGGCAGATTTCTGCCATGCTGATCTCACCCTTGGATTTGCAGGCCTAGGTCTTGCACTCTTGGCTCACAAAAATAACGAAACGCTAGGATTTGAGTCACAGATGCAACAGTGACTCCAAAAAACATAAAGGACTGGAGCTAAAGAGCCAGAGGTGCCTTTAGCGAGCCTCAGGTGATCCAAGAAAGTCCTGCTAAGGTCTCTTACCTCAAGCTTGTGCACAGACAGCATAGAGCTGAGCGGACCTATCTGGTCAGTCAGAAACATGCCATTTTTGCCAGCATTCTGGATATACCACTTGTTTGTCATTCTCTATCACTATGAGCTAGTCAACAATCCCAAGAAGCAAGAACAAAAGTGGTAACTTTTCTTCACTCCAGGGGTCCAGGATATTATCAGAGGCAGGATGGAAGGTGTGGTGGGCCACTTCATTCCCTTACATCACAGTGTACAAAGTGTATAGATTTTTCTAAACACCTTGGTGTCCTCAATGTCTTCTTTAGGCCTATTAAATATGAAAAGTATGTTTTTAGTGTATTCACATTAAGATCTATATTACCCTGGTTGTGGGCCCAGTGGTCTGTCATCCCAGCACTCAGGGAGGCAGAGGTAGGATGGTCTCTGAGTTCTGTCAGTGAGTCCAGGACAGCCAGGGCTACTCAGAGAAACCCTATGTTGGGGAAAAAACAAACAAACAAACAAAAAACAAACAAAAAAGATCTACATTAATCCATATTTAAATTTACTGAAATAGTTTACATTCTTTTCTTTTTTTCTTTTACAAGTCTTCAAAATCTAGTGGGTGTTTTACACAGTTTCATTTAGGGTTTACCACATTTCAAATGCTCGGTATTCTCATATAACTAGAGACTACACAGTGGGCCATGAGCTCTAAAGCATAAAATGCCTCCAAGTCTTCCTTGGCTTCCCATCTTCCTCCTTCACTCTGCTCTAGCCTGTCACAGTACTCGTCCTCTCTTCTACTTCTGTGACTTACTCCATATTGTGTGTAGCCTCCTTTGCTGCCCGCTGTGACTCACTGAGCCTTAGCTGCTGAGTGTGCTCTGGACTCCCCTCTGCTCCACTCCTCTCTCTTCGAGACACGGCCTCACCATGTAGCCCTGGCTGACCGAGGCTATGTAGCTGGCTTCAGACTCAGATCTGTCCGCCTGCCTCTGCCCGGGATTAAAGGTACATATGTGTACTTGTGTGGGGGTGTACATGTGTGCCTGTATGTGAAGGGCCAGAGGTTTGGGGTATCTCAGTCACTCTCCACTTAGATTTTTTTGTGTGTATGTGTTTTGTTTGTATGTTTCTTAGGTTTTCTGTTTGGTTTGGCTTATTGAAACAGGATTTCTGTAGTCCTGGCTATCCTGGAACTCACTATATAGACCAGGCTGGCCTTTAACTGCCTCCCAAATGCTGAGGTTAAAGGTGTGTTTCACCACACTGAATTTTCTCCACTTGCTTTTTCTGTTTGTTTGTTTGTTCGTTCGTTTGTTTGTTTGTTTTGAGACAGGGTTTTTTGTGCAGTCCTGGCCATCTGTAGACCAGGTTGGCCTTGTACCTTTGACTCTCCAGTACCGGGATTAAAGGCGAATGCCACCACTGTCCCTCTCTCTGCTTATTTTTTGGGACAAGGTCTTTCGGTGAAACTGGAGCCCACCATTGGGCTGTACTGGCTGGCCACTGGCTCCCAGGGATACGAATTTGGGTCTTTTATAGTGAACGGTTTTGACAATGGGGTCATCTCTCCAGCTCCTGTACGTCCACTCTTGTGTAGACACTAGCATTCATTTCTGTTGAGTGTGTGTATCCAAGAGTGAAAATTGCATTTGTGGTAGATACTGTAAAGCGGTTTTCCAAACTAGTTGTAAGAATTGGTGTCCTGTGAGCAAACTAAAGGCTGGCCTTGAACCCCACCACAGCCCCCCAAGTGTGTGATTATCATAGGTGCTACTACTCGCAGACCTGTCTCCATTGTGACTGTAGAGTTGGGCTTTGTGTTGGTCAAGTCAGTGACCACACCTGGCCATTGTCTTTCTTGGTGGAGCTTCCAAACCATCTGCTGTGGTGCAAGAAACAAAGATTGGGACAGAAGAAGCAAAGTCAGGATTTGCATATGACTTGATTGTAATAAGCAGATTTGGGTTTACTCATTAACTTAAGCAAGGCCCACTGAATATAATAAACAGCCAGTGCTCTTTGTATGTATAAATATCAGCTGGAAAAAGCATCACATAGTTCCTTTAAATGAACTTTAAGATAATTGGACAGGCTTCTGAGAATTATCTCCCAGGTGGCTTGGTTGTGTTGCTCTGTGGTGATATATAGGTTATAGTCCCTAAAAAACAAGATTTATGTGTATTATTTTAAATTTTGTGTGTGTGTGTGTGCCCGTGCTCATGTTATTATGGGATGGTATGTGAATGTGAGTGCAGGTGCCCTTGGAGGCCAGAAGCATTGGCTCTCCCTGGAGCTGGATTTACAGTCAGTGTGAGCGCCATGGTGTGGGTGCTGGGAACTAAACCTGGTACTGTTGAGAAGGGAAATTAGACTCTAGAGGGCTTCTCTACCCCAGCTAAATCCCAAATAATCGAGACAGAGACCTTTTAGATTAATAAAGGCTTTAAGGCACAGTAACTGGGCAGATATCAACCCCCTAAGCTATTTTGCAGCTACATGTATCCCAGTATTACTTGCCATATGTTTCATCTGGACTGCTTCTGGTCCATCAGGCCAGCCCTCATGACCATATGCTCATGGTCCATACTGTCCCTGGGCGACCTCTCCAGCTTCCTCTCTCGCTACATCTTCTCCTTTCTCTTCTCCTGACTCTGTGGTCCCTCTCTGCCCACAAGCCCAGGAACCTAATCTTGCTTACTTCTCTTCTGCCCAGTTACAGACATCAGTAACTTTATTAACCAGTCAACTCTAAATTAGGTAGAACAAGGTTTACATAACAAAGAAAAGTATAAACGAGGATGAACTCATCTGGGCAGCAACCATTTACTGGGGGCCAGTAATTGGCATTAGAATACATAGCATCAGACCAACCCCCAACATTCTACAGATGCTGTATATGCTCCTGACCTCTGAGCCATCTCTCCAGCCCAGATTCTGATACTTTTCAACCCCACAGTGGCCTTTTTCTTGTCACCAAATCCTGGGGATACCCTACTGTCGCCAGTCTCTGTCAACAAACTTTAGAAGTCTAAAGCAGAGATCAGCACTGGGTTAGTCAGCTTTTTGTTACTAAGTGTTAACTGAAGACTCAAAGAGATGGAAAAGCTGGGTGTGGTAGTGTATACCTTTAATTGGAGCTCACAGGCTGTAGGGGTAGGTGGGTCCCTGTGTTAGAGGGAGGACGGTCTGGTCTACAGATGGAGTTCCAAGACAGCCAGGGCTACACAGAGAACAACAAAAACAAAGGTGGAAGAAGTCAAGTTTGGTGACACCTGCCTGTAATCACAGCACTTGGGAAGCAGAGGCAGGAGGACTGTCAGCAAGTCCTAGGCCATCCAAAGCTGTGCAGCAACACTTTGTCATAAAAAAAAAAAAAGAAAGAAAAGAAAGAAAGAAAGAAAAAAGCCACCTGCCTTGTGATGAAAGAGAGGAAAGTATTTCCTTCTGGGCTTGGTGCATGATGTAGTAATCTGTGACCCTCCCACCTCTT